AAATATTATCTTTTACTTTCTGTATATATTCATGCTACATTATCTTCAATTTTTCCTTTCTTTTTGGTTGAAGCTGTTTCTAGGCTGGATCTACGAGAACTAAAGAAAAATGAAAAAGAGAAGGTTTTTGGGGTTGGAAATCACATTTTTAGCGTTTATGCATTCTTCACAATCTGTTGAGATTTACTCCTTGAGTATGCTACCACTCCATCATGATAAGCTGTCTACTGTCTTTATTCGTGAGTGGTTACTTTTTGCATATTATACCAAAAGGTTCGCATTTGATATAAATGTAGTCTCTAAAACCTCAAATTTATACGAAGTTGCTTAAATTGCTCTACTTCTGGGCGTGTTTCTATATGATATTAAGTTTATTCCCTCAAAAATAAGAAACTAAGTGCTCGTGAAAATAAGAAGCATACCCTTAAGACAAACTCTATCTAATTAAAGACAGATTGAAGTCTAGACCTTAGCTTGAGCTAAGTTCACATGCTTTTAAACTTTGGAACAGATTTTGAGTCACCAAGTTAATATGTCCTGTACAACATTGGTAGTGGCTGTTATGTCGTGAGATTCTATAATCCCCCCCACCTCCTTTTTTTATAGAAATTGTATCATGGTGGCTAGCCGGCAATTTTACATTACTCTTAAACTGCTGACGACAATAAGCCAAAACACAATGGGGAAGGAAAAAGAAGGATTTTTTTTGGGGGGGGGGGGGGTGTCCAATTCGTCATCGCAGTATGAAGTTGATGATGCGGAAGCCAGGTTAGTCCACACTCAAACATGCTTTCAGGAAAAGAAATAAGTGTTCTAAGTTTTTGGCCAGTCAAGGACACCATGCTAAGGATAACTTTGTTCAGGCTGATATCCTGCGTAGACTTGAATAAATGATTACTTTGACATTATGGGAAGTGTTGTCGCAATATGCTTGAAAGTTAACATTCCCTTTTCCACTTTGCAAAAAAGGGTTAGGAAGGTCCGCTAGTGAATAGCCGTTTTGAGATTTTATCCGCTGTGTTTTCAGAACTTTGTGAAGCTCTTAATTTCTGTTTAAGGTTGATAAATTTGTCAAGCTCCTGAAATCTACCTCGAGGAAGCCGATGCCTAGAGTTTCTAATCGTTAGAAAATAGTAGTAGGCCAACTTGTTTTGGTACTGAGGCACAATTGTTGTTGTTGTGGAAAAGAGTGGTAGGCATACTTTCACAATAGTCTTGTCCACAAGCAAATCAATGTTCGGCAGCGAAAAATCATCTTTGGGATAACATAGTGCCATAGTGGTTGGATGTTTAGGCCCATTACTCATATGTTCTGCTAAAATGTTCCACAGTTGATATTTCAAAAAGTTTCACCTGATGTCATGATCTAATTTTTCTTTTGGACACATTGTGCTGCTTAAGATATTTTCTTCTGCTTGTACTTCATGACTGTTAACAATTATTTTTATGATGCTGCAGAAAGCTCTTGCTGGTATAAGACGTATCAATCTGGAAGGTCTACGATGGAGAGTGTTTGATGCCAAAGGCCAGGTTGGAATGCCCTCAATTTTGAATGTCGAAACAAATAAGAAAAAGGAAATAAGCATCTCAGTGAAAAGTTTGTTATAGATTAATAAGGAATGACATGCAAACATCAATTTCCTTTTGACTCTTGGGTTCCTCTACTGTGGGGAGTGTTAAGAGGGGATTTATGCTGCAGTACAAGGGATGAGTGTATATAAAATGTGATAAGTTGAATGCTCACTATTCTGATAATGAAGTTCCATGGTTTGTCATACTGCTCTACATTAGTAATTTAGTATACTGGTTGTCAGTTGAGGCTTTTTTCTTGTTTTTATTTTCTTTTCCTGCTAACCATCTTCCTTGATTCAATATTAAGCATTAAGATGATATTCTTTTAGTGGTCTTTGCTAAGACTGCACATGCTAGTTTTGCCTTCTCTCTTGAAGCACCAATGTCGGCCATTCTTCAATCTACTAATAGCAAACTCCTTATATATAGGTCCTGGGAAGGCTGGCATCACAGATATCTACCGTGGTTCAAGGCAAAGATAAACCGACGTACACACCTAACCGTGAGGAAGGAGATATGTGCATTGTGCTCAATGCAAAGGATGTCTGTGTCACCGGGAGAAAACTCACTGATAAGTTCTATAGGTGGCACACTGGGTAAGTATTTTTGACGTTATTACTCATGCCATGTTGACTTGTTTGTAAAATTGGTGTTTCATGATTATGGTAGAAGTAAAGGCAAAGGCAAAAGGCTGAATAAATCGTAAAAGTATAATATGGAGGGATCTATCTACAGTTTTATTAGTGTTCATAATATCTATTTCTTGAATACCTCTATAGTTACATAGGCCACCTAAAAGAGAGGAGTCTGAAAGACCAGATGGCTAAGGATCCAACAGAAGTTATTCGCAAAGCTGTCCTGCGTATGTTACCAAGAAATAAGCTGCGTGATGTAAGTGACGTTATTATGATCTGTTTAGTATTTTTTTAAAATCCAATAAGTTCCTGGACAACTGTCAGATTGCTTATTAACACTTTTGGATTTGGGTATTCCCTGCAAAGGCCTATCATGAGAGGAAAAGTTTGCACCATAAATATGTTGAAGTGTATGTCTTCATATATTACAGCAACAAGAAAGTGTGATGGACTCTTTACTTTGGGCTTCACTTCTGAGTTGTCGTTATATTCTCAACGCACTATCTGTAGAAATATAATGGATTTTCTTTTTTTAAATGGCTATCTGGAGATATAATTTTACCTGACTAGACTAGAAGTGATAAAAAACCACTTGGCTCTTAGTTAAAGGATAATGTACCTATAAAAAAAGTTAGCAATAATTGTGTGAGAAATCATCACTGAGCTAGCTGTTAGTTATCAGATAACTATACCTGCAAAAGAAAGAAATAATTGCAAAAGTTATCTATACTTCAGTATATTCTCTTTAGATAATGCCATGCATTAATAATGTGCAACTCCTAAGTCATAGCCCAATGTCGTAGGATCTTTCGATAAGTGTTTTTGTAGGATATATTAGATTGTCGTATGCATATTTTACTTGAATTCTAAAATTCCCCTGCTGCAGGCCTTGATGAAGTACTTAATGGTTGATTTGACTTGCTAAAATTTTGCTATAATTGTTTTCATCCTATGATGTAAGCACTCAAATTTCATTATGGTTGGGCACCTTCACCCCATAAAAGTGGGTGGGAAGGGAAAGGTAAATCCCTCTTGCTTCCCTTTTAGCCCTTCCAAGCAGCATAAGAGGAACATACAAAAAAGTACTTCCTCCTAGAAATAATTCTAAAATGTCCTATGCCCTTTCTCCTTAAATAGCAACCATGATGGTACAATTAAACTGTCCATCTTTAAAGTTACCAAATGGTTAGTGATAAGTTAACTTCTGTCAATTGTTTCTATTTTTATGTAAATACTTTGTTTGTTATGCAGGATAGAGACCGGAAATTGAGGATTTTTGCTGGCGATGAGCACCCTTTTAGTGACAGACCTCTAGAGCCGTATGTGATGCCTCCTAGACAAGTTCGGGAGCTGCGCCCTCGTACAAGGAGAGCCATGATTCGAGCTCAAAAGAAGGCTGAGCAGCAGCAACAGGGTACAAACAACACAAGTAAAAGAAAAAAGAACAAGGAGGTGGAAGAAGAAGCAGTAAAAGCATGAAACATAATATACTTTCTCACATGACTTTGAGTTTGACCTCTATTTGCCAGCCATAACGCGATCTTGGCATGGCTACTCAGACGATTGAGGATTTTCTAGTACCATATTTTGAGCTTGGAATTTGTTTTTCTGCTTAATGGGATGCGTGTATTTTTCATTACTTTGATGTTATATTTAGGACAGAAATATACACTTGAGCTCATTATTGCCACATGATGGATGCACCAATAAGCTCTTTCTCTTGAGCTCTAGCCAGTATGCTCTCTTATGTAGAACTACTAGTTAGTAGAAAGGTGTGAACTGATAATGTGTAGTCAATACTGACAATTCTTGTTTTTCAAAGATGGATAGTCTTAAACTTATGTTGATGCTTCTTAATGTGATTTCTATATAGTAGAAAACTGTTTGTTGCAGAGCAGATTGTTCCAATTTCAAGTACTACAACTACAACGTAACCCACAACCCAGTAAAATTCCACTACCGCTATCCCCGGAAGGTAGAGTGTACGCAGACCTTACCCCTACCCCGGAAGGGTAGAGAGGCTGTTTTCGGGAGACCCTCGGCTCAATAGAGGAGGCAATAATATCAGAAAAGAACAAAAGAATAGATCCGTAACAACAAAAGAAACCAGAAAATAATATCAATATCGTAAGAGACAACAAATAAGTGGAAGGGCAATAACACAATACAATGCAAAACAAAAATATGGTGTGAACACAACATAAGCTGCTAGCAGTCCTAGACAATTTTATCAGACTATCCGGTACAAAGAGGAAAAACGCTCGATTACCCCTAGCCTACAACCCTAATGCTCGACCTCCACTTTCAATTTCAAGAAATACATTTAAAAATATTGGAGCGTGTAGAACGCTCAACGCTACTAAAGTTGCTCTATTGGTGAGCTATTACCGTAGAATTCTCAATTTTATTATACAGATATGTAACAACATTTAGTGGCAGATTTTTAAAAAAAGTCACAACTTTATCGTTGAGCTATTGTTCTGTATAATGTAAAATTCTGAATCTTGCTTCACGGTCTCTTTGAGAGAGTCGTTTCATCCCATGTGATTAAATGCGAAGTAAATATATATAATAGACTAAAAAAATACCTTCATTAAATATTTAAACTACTAATAAAGGCTTTTATCTTGGTTGCTTTCTTTTTATGATTATCAGACCTATAAATTCACATTTGCCTCAATTTACATCTCCAAAAAATTAAAACAAAAACTTTCCATAATTCAGCAACCTGAAATATTCTAGTGATTTTGGAAAAAAAATAGTATATTATAGTGTAGTAAAAAAAATAAAAATGAAACATCTCCTTTTGGCGCGACTTCATTTGCCTACATATAAAGAAGCGCACTCCTTAAACCCTCTTTTAAACCCATCCGTTGCGTTCCTCCCCTTACTCACACTCTCTTATAATGAATGAACAGCCACGGCGAAACGGAGGCGGAGGCGGAGGCGGAGGCGGAGTTGGCGGCTCGCGCGGCCCACCGTTACAGCCACAGCAGCTAAATGCTGAGAGTGAAAATGTGCACCAAAACCCCAATATTCCAATTCAAAACCCTAATCTTGTGAATTTTCCACTACAACAAAACCCTAATCCTAGCAACTTCCAATTTCAGTGTCCGCCACCTCCGCAGACTTCCTCAAGTGGTAATAATGCCGAGGGTGTTGAAAATGTGCAACAAAACCCTGAGTTTCAATTTCAGCAGCAACCTCCCTCAAAGTGAAAAAAAAAAGAAATCTTTAGTTTCTGAATTTATTGATAGAGTTAATAATGCTGTAATTAAGGCACGTAAAGACCTAATAGAGGCTGGTGAAAATGTGTCCTCTTGGAAAGTTTCAGAAGCAGCTTTGGTTTTACTTAAATCCGACTCTTGGGATTGTTTGGGTTTCACAACTCTTAGAGCTCGCTCTCTCAATAGCCTCATGGTTACTGAGGCGAAGGTACAACAACTTTGTACTGTTTTCGTAGCTTTGACTCATATCCTGTATATCTGATGTGACTTTATACCTTTACAAACAATTCAACTTAAAATTACCCTTTTAACCTTAATGAGATGATTTATAACCACACAAATATGTATATATTGTTTTAGATCACAAGTTTCAGAATTTCATTATATGACAATGTTTCCTTTTTAGTTAGATCCAAAAAGATGACAACTTTCTAAATTTGGAAATAATTTAACTGAAACTTTTCATTTTACCCTTAATTTGAAGTTTTTATAACCACACAAATGTTAAGACCATTTTACCTTAATTTGAAACTTTTATAACCATACAAATGTTAAGACCACACGTGTCAAGTATGATAGCCACATAAGTGTTATGCTATGTTTATGACCACAAGTATGAAAATGCTTCTTTTCTTTTTAAAACTCTGTGCTTATTCCTATGTTCCTGTTTACGAGGCACCATTCTTTTTTAGCCCGTCAAAAGATAGAAGCTTTCTAGATTTGGAAATAATTTAACTTAAATTTTTCATTTTATGCTTTATGAGAAGCTTTTATAGCCACACACACTATGAGATGATTAATACCACAAGTTTCAAAAGTATATAGACACACAAATATTTTGGCATATTTATGACCACAACTATCAAAGATTCTTTTTCTTTCTTTTAAAATGTGTTCTTATTCAAACTTTATCACATAAATTTAAACTGATAGAGTGTAATAAATAGATCTGAACCTAGTACATTGAATGTGTTGTGGTAGAATCCTAAACTCGAATCCGTAAAGTTCAAATCCATGATCCGCCTCTACTATTAGTATAGTTTAACTTGGTGACGCTAGTGTTGTCGTAGGCGTGCTTAAACCGCGCTTAAGCCCTGAAGCGAGGGGCAAAACATGTTGAGACCCGCTTAGTGGGCACTCCAATGTTGTCATCGAAACTCTTAAGGCATACTTTTCCTTGCCAATGATTGTAATCCTAAAGAAGCAACACTAAACAATTGATATTTCATTGTATCGTAATTTTTTTCCCAGTTTCTTTGTCCATATATTTGTTATTCATGCTTATAATTATTAGTTTTGGGCTACACATGCATATTTGTATTTTTTATCCATTTCATTAAAGCCCACGCTTTATTGCACCCTTTTCCCCTTGAAAACACTAGCATGTTACTGTTCCTCGTCTTTTATGTAAACAAAATACACTCTCAAAAACAGGTGAAAAAAATTATATATTATGTCTTAAAAGGCCAAGCACGCTAGTACTAGCTAGCATGTTTTTTTTATTATGATAAAATTAATGCAAAAATGAGTATGCAATGTGCTTATTGGTTTTGAAATCAGTAGGCAGTTTTTACACAGATGATTTCCTGTGCTTTTGCTCAACTTGGTCATTTACATCTGTGGTGTATAATCTTGATTCTTTAGTAGTCACTATTTTATTTTGGGTACTTTATATTTTGATTTATTCTTTTTAATAGGTGTTGTACTTTTTTGTATGCTTCTTGTGTACAGGTATCTTTTACCCAATCTTTTATGAAATTTAATTACTACTTTCAAATTGATTTATTCCCTTTAATTCTTTTTATTTTTTGTTTTGGAGGCTAGCCTCAACTCATTGCGTGTTGTGTACATTGGGCTCCATCTCAACTTTTAGATGCACCTGTTTTGGATTTTTACATTTCTTGATGTGCCATTTGACGCAATGCTCTATATCCAACCCCCTTACTTCAAATGGGGGTACATTTTTTTCAAGCTGAAGGGAAGAGGTCAATGGATCCCTCTTCCCAAAACACTGTGAAATTGGAGTTAAGCTTCGGTGTCGATCAACCTTAAGTACCAGTTTTGTATTTTGTTGGAGAACGTTTTGTGAATATTTATAGGTTGAAGAATTTTTTTTTTCAGGCAAAGATATTTTATGGACTACTAAATTTTCATTTCCCCATCTCTGTTTCTTAGATTAATGCTTTCATCCACTGCTTTGTTGGTGCTCAAGGAATTATCACATTGTATGATTTGGAAGTAGCAATATGCAAGAATGAGCGGGTTGAGCATTTTGAAGAGTTGGAATTGGGTCCGCTGGTGAAACACCCGCTTATTATCCATTATTTTTCTATCAATGCTGATGTGTCAGAAGTTTTCAGAATAACGATCGAGGAGATAACATCCTTCCTTTCTAAGTTCATGGATGCTAATAAAAGTAAAAAAGTAGAAATAGATGAATTTTTGAATTTCATCGCCGAGAAGAAATCTGCTGGAAGCAAAGAGAAGCTTTGTGTGCGGATTCAGAGCTTTGGGTATGTGGCATATTTTACTCGTACAAGATTTTGTTTACTGCTCAACTAAATATTGTAGGAGAGATTCATTATTGAAACCTATTATTGTTGTAAAATTTTTGGTAGCCAATGTGAAGATAAGTTTATACTTTGGCACATAGAGGGTGCCTGCCTTTGCAAAAAGTTCACAAGACAAAATTTAGAGCTGAATTGTGGTACAGTGTATGCTACTTGCGTGGTGGGATTATGTCACTGCTTAAATTAGTGTCCATGCCTGTAACTTGGTAGGGTTGATCTTACCAAGTGGACCATCTTGTTTTGGCTAATGTTACTCATAGTTATCAACGTAATACATTACTCTGGCACTGCTTCTCTTCTAGGGAATCGTGTGCTGCTCCTTTTGTTGCTCTTAGTGGGCAACATGACAGGGATACCACTACTCTTTATGGGTAGTATGTATGGGTAGTATGTATTGTATCCTACAATACCATTACTTTCTGAGGGCAACACTTACCATCATAGCAGCTCAAACTTCCTCCCCAGGCCTTTCTCAAATAATCTCTCGTATAACTCTTATTCTTTATCAACATAGCTTTGGTAAGGACGTGTGAGTGTGTGTGTTTATATGAATTTTGCTAACTTGCTACATGAGTATAGTAGGGCACCCTCCCCATTTTGTTTGAGAAGGTAATATATTTGTATATTAAAATATAGACTGCATAAAAATTGTGAAGTCACCCAAGATTTCAGAGGAATAACAGGAAGACAAACTCCTAATCCTTTGTCTTCGCTTAAGGATTCTAATACATCAAAAATAGATTCATGATCTTCTAATTACTTTCCTTTAAACCATAAGTAAAAGAGAGCCAAGCACTTCATTTTCATCTTCTGAATGTGGCTGGCTTTATTTTCAAAACATCTTTGATTTCTTTCTTCCCAAACTGTCCACCAAAGCAGGGACAATCTTCCATCTCTCTTTATGAGCAGACAAGTTACCCTCTCTATTCCAACATGCTAGAACTTCTGGTATTCTTCTTGGCATAGCCCACTTAATAACCCTTAAGTTGAAGACTATTCTCCATAGTTGAACAGTCCACTTACAGTGTAAAAAGAGATGTTTATTGTCTCTGCCTCCTCTCCACGTAAGTAGCATCTAAAACATTAAAAATAGCCTCTCTTGCTTAGATTGTCCCGTGTCAAAACTGCTTCCGTTGCTAATAGCCATGTGAAGCAAGCTATGTTATAAGGAATTTTAACTATCCAAATCAACTTCCATGGCCAGCATTCAACCTGATTATTGGATCAGTTAAATTCCTTATATGCTGATTTGGCAGAGAACTTTCCTAGCTTATTTCCTTGGCTAATTTATAATTTGTTTATAAGACTAGCATTATTTGGTGTTGAATTCTTCAACGCGTTATCAATTTATCAGTTCCACTTTAGCTTTGGTTTCACCACGGAGGATAGAGAGAAGAAAAAGCAGAGGAAGAGAAGAATGCTGGGTTGGTTTGTTTAGCAAAACGACAAAAAATCCCCTCATCAATCTTGTTTAATGTGCTGGCAAGGGTATTTTAGAAAATTAAAATACAATGGTAACTTACTACATTCATGTAGTTGGTTAGCAAAATCCTGTATACATACATATTTTAATATGACATAACTGAAACACTTTGTTCCTAAGGAACCATATAAATAGGTATATCATAATCTTAGAAGTATAACTTCATCAAAAGCTTGATGAAATCTCAGAAGCTTTTTATCGGCAGTAATATAGGCATATTTACTATGAACTTGTCTTGCTATACAAATTCTAATTCAGAAAGCATTCAAAGCTCGTAAAAGCATGATGGTTGTGAAAAATGAGGTTATGAGTAAAACATCACTTTCTCGATTCCAAGCATTATCTGAATTGTCTCTAATTGAATCAGCCACCTCTTTAATTCTTCTTAATATAGGAAGATAGTATCATAACAAGGGTGCACCTAAAGGTGTGGCCGTAATGGTCAATGAATGAGAACCCTGAAGTCTCAGGGTCAAATCCAAGCGGAGGCAAAAACACTAGGTGATTTTTTCCAATTTGTCTAAGCCTTGATGGACAGAGTGCCTGATACCTATGCTGGCGGGAGGTAGCAGGTACCCGATGGAATTAGTTGAGGTGCATGCAAGCTGGACTGGAAACCGCCATTATTAAAAAATGTATGACAATTAAGGTGAATTAATCTCTTAGAAACATGATTTGGCTTCACCCTTAACTAAGGGTAATGAGATCAGCGAAATGCTAACTTTCAACTATGTGTTTGGGAGTTGAAGAAATTATCATTTCTTGTATCGTCATTTATTTGTTTTATGGTTATATTTCATTGTTTGCTTCCTCTCTTTGCATGTTCTCCAAGGTCTTAATTTCTGCTACCTTCTTGGGGTACTTTTTAGATCAATAGCACATCTTATTGCTCTAATTGTAAAATAAAGATTATGATGTCCTTGTGACAGAGATAGATAAATAAATAAGAAGAGAATAGTTATTATCTGAGAGAGAATTTTTCATTTTCTGAAAGAGGTGTAGTTAACCTTCATAAATGCCCAATAGACTGCAATCGAATATCTTAAATATTAGCTGGGGTAACATGGACCACCATGACAATTTGGCATGCAGTTATAATGTTTCTTTTGTTTTATGTTAGATATTCTATGAAAGGTTTTGTTCTCTGTATTTTTAATTTAGCATTCACCTTTCTACGCCTGAGTGTGTGTGCAGAATTTTAAGTTGGGTATTGAGTTTCCTTCTTCTTTTATTCCTTAATTTTTCTAAACCATGGCGAACTTTACCTTCCAGTTAATTATTGAACTTGCTGAAGTTTAGATGTGATTTCCTATTTTGTTAGTATATTAGTTGAGAATTGACATGACTAGACTGTCAAGGAGCTTCCTCATTCAGGACCTTTATTCCCATCTTTTGAAGAAGTAGGTACTTTTGTCACCTATTAGTGTCACATCATTGAGTCCTTCGGTGTTGAATTCTTGAGGATTGGTAAAATCTAGTTAATCTTGGTAAGTGAAGAGTGACTTTATGCCATTTCTTGTCTGCGACAAAACCTTTAAGATATAGTCTAGCTCATGTTAACACATGTTTCTCATGCTTCTTCTACAGCTGCTGCTGACTGATTTTGGGACATGTAATAGTTGATATGGCTGTGGCATTTATGTTCTGTTTTCAGCAAAATCTGATCATTCATATTCCTCATCCATGTTTCTTCCTTGTGCGTTTCAAGCTTCAGGATGCATATTAAATTTCTCAGGCAAGCAAGGCAGTTCAAAACTAGCTCCATTAACAAATATAGTATGAAAAAAGAATCCAGCAAATATACCTGGAATCGCTCTCTCCTATCTTTGCACAGAAGAAGCAGTTGGATGAGCATTTCAATGCCATGTCTGAACGTATCAAATCATTTACCTCAGCTGAGGAAATTTTTTGTGGTAAGCACACAAGGTTTATATCAATTTCAGAATATGAGAGCAGTGATGATGATCAGGATGAAAGTGCTGCACGAAGCCCAGCTGGAAACACCAAAAGTTTGGACAGACCAACCACCTGTCCTAACCTATCAGCATCTGAAGAAATGATGCGGCTGGGATTGAAAGCTGAAGTTGATCTTGGCTTACCTACTGCTAGTGGCAGTGCTGGATACAGTAAGGATATTCGGCAATCCAAGAGTAAAAGGAAACATGATGATGCTCAGAGTTCCATGGCTTTACCCAAAAAAGCACCCAAAATAGATGTGGATCGGGCAGAGCTTTTTACTCGCAGGAATAAAAAGGGATTAAAACTTTCTCAGAGGTGGAATGAAGAATCCGACGGTACAAATGATTTTTCAAATGGTGATGATTCAATTAAGATTTTCGTTAACACATGGAGAGAGGCATGTCGGACAAACGGTGTAGATGAGGTACATTTATGCAGTTGCTTCTTATCTAGCAGAGAATGAACTTATCATACATCACTTTGAACTGATGCTGTCTCCAAATAACTGGTCTACCCTTTATATTGGGTTGCTGTTTTTGTCTACTTTTGCAAAAAGAAAAACTATTCCAGATTCAAGACTTACACATATGTACTACCAAAAAGGTGTTAGGGTATCCACTTTATACCTAAAAGAAGTTCAAGTCTTCGAGAAAGTAACTTTCTCTACACATTTGGACCTACTTCCATTTAAGCTCTAACAACTTAAACTCTTTTGTGAAAGATAAAGTTCCTGCTGATCCAGCACTCTCTTAGTGCTTTAGGGCTGTTTATAGAGCAAAAAACAAATATACCCTTTTGTAAATTTGTAGGGAATCTTTGTCCTCTAGCACTGATTCTGCGTCATTTGTAAAATCTACTTTACACCAAAAAGTAAACAAAACTTGATTTTCTGAATGGAGTTGGCTTTATCTTCAAAACGCCTGGAATTACTTTTCCTTCACACAGTCCACCAAATGCAAGCAGGGATATGTTCTACAATTTTTCCTACCCAGTGCAAATCAGATACAGTTATTGACATTGCCCAACAAAGTCCCACCATGTTTAAAAACAGCTGCCATAGCATACTAGAATAGATGGTTGTTGCTTTCTGGCTTCTCTTCGCATGTTTTTGGTATTTCGCCAAGCTTCAGATGTTGACAACCATTGTAAACACATGCTGATCTTCAGTCATTTTTTCTTTCCATTTCAGGTTTTCCAGAGGATGCTTCAGTTCTATAAGGCAAGGAAGAAAACTAAAATGACAAGATTGTTTTCATCATATCCATTTTGTGGGTTGCTTCAAGTTGCTGTAAGTTAACTGATCCTTTTGATAAGTAATTAATTAGCCATAAGACAGCTGAGGGAATTCTGCTTCATGCTCACGGAGAATATGGATTTCTTCTATTTTAAGTAAACCTATCTCAAATCCAGGAATTCTCTTTTGTGATAGGCGTTTGTTTAGGCGCCTCTCTTTTAGCTGCTTGAAATCATCAATTAAGTATTGTGAAGGAGAAAAATTTATATTATTGATTATCTAAATTGTTGTACAACGCCCTATTTATATACAGTGATTACATAATAGGTATCTACTTTCCGATGTGGGACACTATACATGACTAGCTACTTAACACTCCCCCTCAAGCCGGTGCATGTAAATCATATGTACCGAGCTTGTTACAGACGGTGTTTTGAAAAGCGAGCGCTTCGTCGCTTTAAGCGAGAAGTGAGGCGAAGCGAGAAGCCGTCGCTTTTTCCTAACTGAGGCGACCCGACCATCAGAAGCGAGAAGCGCTCGCTTCTGTTCAGAGGGGTCATTTTAAAAAAAAAAAGTTTGGGTCTTTGTTTTTATTATACAAAACAGACCAAAAGTGAAAAGACCATTCTTTTTCCTTCCCAACGTTAGCAGCAACATCCAACTAGAGTTTCAACCTCCAGGCAATTTTTCTTATTTTCAATTTTTCTCCTCCAGCGCACAGCTAGGGCAGACGCTGGTTTATTTTCCCTCTTTTATTCTTCTTATTTATTAATTTTAATATGTATTTTAGTTTATAAAATTAATTATTATATATATATATATATATATATATGTTATTTTTTTTAGTTTATTTAAGAATTGCGCTTCACTTCAGTGAAGCGTGCGCTTCGTTTTTGAAGCAAGGTGAGCCCCTGTCGCTTTTTTGCGCTTCTCGCTCTCAAAAACATTGGTTACAGATGTAACTAATACGAGAACCAGTAAGAGACTTGGTGAAACTATCTGCTAGCTGATCATTCGACTTCACAAACTTTGTAACAATATCTCCCGAGAGTATCTTTTCTCCGACAAAGTGACAATCGATTTCAATGTGTTTAGTCCTCTCATGGAACGCATGATTTGACGCAATATGAAGAGCATCTTGATTATCACACACCAGTTCAATTTTGCTGATTTCTCCGAACTTCAAACTCCTTGAGCAACTGCTTGACCCAAACTAGCTTACACGTTGCCATAGCCATGGCCTGATATTCTGCTTCGACGCTAGATCGAGCAACTACATTCTGTTTATTGCTCTTCGAAAAGACCAAATTACCTCCTACTAGAATACAATATCCGGATGTAGAACGTCTATCAGAAGGTGATCCTGCCCAATCAGCATTTGTGTACCCAACAATCTGCTCGTGGCCTCGATTCTCGAATAGTAATCCTTTGCCTGGAGCTGACTTTATATATCGAAGAATACGAACAACTGCATCCCAGTGACTATCACAGGGAGAATCCATAAACTGACTTACAACACTCACCGAAAAAGAAATGTCAGGTCTAGTCACTGTAAGGTAATTCAATTTGCCAACCAACCTCCTATATCTCGTACGATCTCTAAGAGGCTCCCCTGTCCTGGTAGAAGCTTAGCATTCAGATCCATAAGAGTGTCAACAGGTCTGCAGCTCATCATTCCAGTCTCCTCAAGAATGTCTAAGGCATACTTCGGCTGTGAAATAACAATACCTGATCTAGACTGAGCGACCTCAATACCTAGAAAATACTTCAATCTGCCATCCTTAGTATAGAAGTGCTGAAAAAGATGCTGCTTCAGATTAGTAATACTATCTTGATCATTGCCAGTAATAACAATATCATCAACATAAACCACTAGATAAATACGCAGATTAGGAACAAAATGCCGATAAAACACAGAGTGATCAGCTTCACTACGAGTCATGCTGAACTCCTGAATAACTGTGCTGAACTTACCAAACCAAGCTCGAGGGGACTGTTTCAAACCATATAGTGACCTGCGAAATCGGCATACAAGACCACTAGACTTCTTCCTCAAGATCACCGTGGAGAAAAACATTCTTAATGTCTAACCGATAAATAGGCCAATGACGTACAACTACTATGGACAAAAAGAGATGAACAAATGCTGCTTTAGCCACGGGTGAGAAAGTGTCACTATAATCAAGCTCAAAAATCTGAGTGTATTCTTTTGCAACAAGACGAGCCTTAAGCCGATCAACCTGGCCATCCGGGTCGTCTTTGTCTGCATAAACCCAACGACAACCAACAATAGGCTTACCTGAAGGAAGAAGAACAAGCTCCCAAGTGCCACTCATATGTAAAGCAGACATCTTGTCAATCATAGCCTGTCGCCATCCTAGATGAGATAGTGCCTCACCTGTAGACTTGGGGATAAAAATAATGGACAAATATGATATAAAAGCATAATGAGGTGATGACAGACAATGATAACTTAAACCGACATATTGGGGATTAGGATTAAGTGTGGATCGTACACCTTTGCGGTGTGCAATTGGTTGACTGAGATTCCGCTACTTTGTTAGTTTCATTGATGATTATTCCAGGTGTACTTGGATATTTTTGATAAAAAATCGATCTGAGCTGTTTCCTATTTTCCAGACCTTCCACACTGAAATTCAAAATCAATTTGGGGTTTCTATTTGCACATTTCGTAGTGATAATGCCCGAGAGTATGTCTTCCCCATTTCAGCAGTTTATGAAATCTCATGAGATTATTCATCAAACATCTTGTCCGTACACATCTCAACAAAATGGGGTAGCTGAAAGAAAGAATAGACATCTTATTGAAACTGTTCGTACCCTACTCATACAATCTCATGCTCCGTTGCGTTTTTAGGGCGATACAGTTCTCACATCTTGCTATCTTATTAATCGTATGCCATCTTCAGCTATCCAGAACCAAATTCCATTCTCTGTCATGTTTCCCCACTTATCTTTGTTCTCTTTTCCACCCCGTATCTTTGGAAGCACTTGTTTTGTCCATAACCTTACTCCAGGAACAGATAAGTTAGCTCCTCGTGCTCTTAAGTGCGTATTTCTGGGTTACTCGAGAACACAAAAGGGGGATCGATGCTACTCTCCTGACCTCCAGCGGCACCTTATGTCTGCTGATGTTACCTTCTTTGAAATCCAATCATACTTCATAGGTTCAGGTCATCACTTAGATATTTCTAAGGTACTACCAGTTTCATCTTTTGGAGATTCAGTCACTCCAACTCCACGACCTACAGCTCCAGTTGTAGTTTCACCACCTATAGCTCCAGTTGTAGCTCCACCACCTATAGCTCCAGTTCCTCTACCTACAGCTCCAGTTGTAGCTCCACTACCTATAACTCCAGTTACTCCACATAATCCAGTTCCACCTTCTACAGCTCCACCACTCTTGACTTATCATCTTCGTCCACAGCCAGCATCAGGCCCAGTTGATTCACGTCCTGCATCAGATTCTGCACCTGCTGCGGACTTGTCTCCTCTTAGTCGACCAATTGCACTTCGCAAAGGTGTACGATCCATACTTAGTCCTAATCCCCACTATGTCGGTTTAAATTATCATCGTCTGTCGTCACCTCATTATGCTTTTACATCTTCTTTGTCCACTGTTTCTATCCCTATGTCTACAGGTGAGGCACTATCTCATCCAGGATGGCGACATGCTATGATTGACGAGATGCCTGCTTTACATGCGAATGGCACTTGGGAGCTTGTTCCTCTTCCTGCAGGTATGTCTACTGTTGGTTGTCGTTGGGTTTATACAGTCAAAGTCGGCCCGGATTGCCATGTTGATCGGCTTAAGGTTCGTCTTGTTGCAAAAGGATATACTCAGATTTTTGGGCTTGATTATAGTGATACTTTGTCTCCCGTGGCTAAAGTAGCATCTGTTCGTCTCTTTTTGTCCAAGGCTACTGTACGTCATTGGCCTCTTTATCAGTTAGACATTAAGAATGCTTTTCTCCACGGTGATCTTGAGGAAGAAGTTTATATGGAGCAACCACCTGGTTTTGTTGCTCAGGGTGAGTTTAATGGTTGTGTGTGCAGATTGCGCATGTCACTATATGGTTTGAAACAGTCCCCTCGAGCTTGGTTTGGTAAGTTCAGCACAATTATTCAGGAGTTCGGCATGACTCGTAGTGAGGCTGATCACTCGGTGTTTTATCGGCATTCTGCTCCTAATCTGTGTATTTATCTAGTGATTTATGTTGATGATATTGTTATTACTGGCAATGATCAGGAAGGTATTACTAATCTGAAGCAGCATCTCTTTCATCACTTCCAGACTAAGGATCTGGATAGATTGATGTATTTTTTACATATTGAGGTCGCTCAGGTATTGTTATTTCACAGCGGAAGTATGCCTTAGACATTCTTGAGGAGACTGGAATGATGAGTTACAGACCTATTGACTCTCCTATGGATCCGAATGCTAATCTTCTGCCTGGACAAGGGGCGCCTCTTAGAGACCCTGCGAGATATTGGAGGTTGGTTGGCAAATTGAATTACCTCACAGTGACTAGACCTGACATTTTTTTCCCGGTGAGTGTTGTAAGTCAGTTTATGGATTCTCCCTGTGATAGTCACTTGGATGCAGTTGTTCTCATTCTTCGGTATATAAAGTCAGCTCCAGGCAAAGGATTACTATTTGAGGATCAAGGCCACAAACAGATTGTTGGGTACACAGATACTGATTGTGCAGGATCACCTTTTGATAGACGTTCTACGTTTGAATATTGTGTTCTAGTAGGAGGTAATTTGGTCTCGTGGAAGAGCAAGAAACAGAATGTAGTTGCTCGATCTATAGGCCGAATATTGGGCCATGGCTATGGCAACGTGTGAGTTAGTTTGGGTCAAGCAGTTGCTCAAGGAGTTAAAGTTCGGAGAAATCAGCAAGATGGAACTAGTGTGTGATAACCAAGATGCTCTTCATATTGCGTCAAATCCGGTGTTCCATGAGAGGACTAAACACATTGAGATCGACTGTCACTTTGTCAGAGAAAAAATACTTTCAGGAGATATTG